AGATTGGCGAAAGTCCGACGGTTTTTAGCGGAACTGCATAAATTCGTTTGTGGTTGGGAAGAATTCCGGCGGTGGTCGACGAACGGGCAGAAGTCCAATAGTGGTCGGTGAACTGGAGGAAGTCTGGTGGTGGACAGGAAGAACTCCGGCGGTAGTCGACGGACTGGCGGAAGTCTGGCGATGGTTGGGAAGAACTCCAGCAGTAGTCGGCGGACTAGCGAAAGTCCAAGGTGGTCGGGAGGAACTCCAGCGGTGGTCAGCAATAACTCCGACGATGGTCGGTGGTAAGAGAGCTCCCAACCTCCTCTCTTCGTTTCCTTCTTCTCCCCCGTTATCAGATGAGCAGCGGCTATTTATAATTTTTTGATAGTGGCATAGCTTGTAAATATGTGGAGGATCAAGGTTAAAATTGGAGTGGATTGAATGGACGGCCAATATTGATCCCCTTGGTCGTGGACTGTTTAATAGTCATTTGAATGCCTTAATGATATCGGAATTCAAATATCTTGTGCTCTTTGGATTTGTCTCATTGAGCCGCTCAATTCGACTATAAGAATGTCACGTTTGAAAACCGTTTGGTAATTCAAATTATGGTCGTGGACTGTAAGTTTGCTGAAATCAGAATTCATATGGTCTCCGAAAAATTTTTTGAAGCTTCCAACTTGATTTTCCCTCAGGATTTGTGTCCCATCAATATAATTTTCAATGACATATCAAGAACAATGAGGAATCTTTACCTCCTTAATTTCTCCTTGCGTTAGTCGTTTTGGCAACCCTTAGTTGGATGGCCTCTGTATTATCATGGGGCCTGTATCTGTTCTGATTTGAACCTCTTAGGAATCCACTTGGTGGATGGCCGTCTCTGGCGATTGGGACTGCAATTAGTGCTGCATAATCTCTGCTTGAAAGCTGCTCCCTTTTTTTGTTTTTTTCTGTGATACTGCTCTTCATTTCTTTGAGCAGCATTAACGTCACTTTTCTGTGTATCTATCTGTGATAGTGAATGAAATAGGCTTCTGCCACAAAATTTTCCAAATAAAATTATACATTGGAGGAGGACTCGACTACTTTTCCACGCGGAAAATATGTCAGGAATCATGATGTCCTGCTAGATTCTTCTAGCATTGGCTTTTTTTATTGATTTTGTTTATATTATTTTGAGGAAGTTAGCAAGACTAAGCGAGTGTGGCATATTAAGGTTTTGCTTGAGACTAGAGGTGTCAATTTAGGGTCATGGGTTGGATTCGGGTTGAATTTGGAACTGGTACAGGTTCAAACGGGTCGACTCTAACCCGACCCGTATATGAAAACGGGTTGGAAATCAGGACCAGGATCGCTGGCGCGTGGGCAGGGCGTTCGGGCAGCGGCACGGGCAGCCTCGTTTGCGCGGTAGCGTGCTGGCAGGGCGTGGGCAGAGGGCGGGCATATCCGCGGGCAGCCGGGCGGGGAGCGGGCAGGCTAGGGCAGTTATGCGTGCAGCTGGGCAGACAGTTTAAACGGGTTTCCGGGTTGACTGGCAACCCGTCGGGTCAAACCGAACCCGGCCCATTCTGAAAACGGGTCGGGTCTAACCCGAAATTTTTTGGTCGGGTTTTCGTGTCGTCTCAAATATTGACACCCCTATTTGAGACTATTTTCTTAATATTTTTTAAAATAATTTTAAAATTGCTTTAAGAAGCAATAACAAAGTTGTTTGAGACGAAGCCTAAAAGTATACTTGGATGGTATTATCTGGAGAAATTATTATGTGCGGTATTGTGACTTAGCTCTCATCCGGATTACAATAAAAAGCGATCAATACACATACTATGTATAACTTTATATATAGTATGTATATTAATATACGTTGTGTGCAACGATATGACCCTTTCCTATTAAAATTTAAGCACCGTCCAAACTCCGCACATAATAATCTCTCTATCATCTGATGGGGTTGATGCTCTTCCATTTTTGATTCTCCTACTTGTGTGCTGTATCATTGCCAGTCTCTGCTACTTCCTGTTATTTTTCCTTCGCAATTCTGTTATAGTCAATTGACCATCCTTTTTGGTCCTTCCAGTTTTTAGCATTGCTATTTTTTTTCTTTGCAGCTCATGTTATTCTTTTTTTAGATAATAGTCAGGCAATAGGGATCAAGCGATGATATTCATACGACAAGTATAGGGCTAGCAGTTAGAATACAAAGGTTTGATGATGATAGTCAGGTGATGAAAGTTATATGAGGACGATCGAGTGATGACTGTCGGATTGCGATAGTCAAATGATAGCGATTGCTGGCAATGATCTTTGACGTTGATCGTCAGGCAATGATCAGGGCTTCTTGAGATATCTAAACTCTCTGCAAATTTAGATCCCTTATTGCTTCTTAAAGCATCTTCCAATTATAAAAATTAAAATTTTAATTAAAAAATTACTTTAAAAAGCAATAAAAAAGCAGTTCAAAATGAAGCCTTAGTTGGGACAATATTCTTACTATTTTCTAAACCAACATATTTAATACAAAATTTTCTAGTTTAAGAAATTTTTGTATTAAAAATTTACTTTAGAAAACAGTAAAAAAATTATCTCAAATAAAATTTTAGATAGAGTTCACTCTTAAGGATACAAACGGGCCGGCCCAAATAGATAACTAATTCTTGATTAACTCAGAGGCCCAAGTATCTTTTTATTTCAGAATAGTGAAGACAAAATTTAAAGTGAAATAATATTTGATAAAAATAAATAAATAAATATATATATATATATAAAGATGATAAAATTCTCATTTTATTTTATTTCATTTTTTTTTCCAAATAAATTTGAGCTATTTTACATTTTTAATATTTATTATTATCATTTATTTTACACTTCTCACACAAAAATCAATCAAGAGTTTCCTACTCAAACTTTTTTCATAAAACAATCCACTAAAAATTAAAAATAAATTTGAGAAATTTGTATATAAATAATATAAATATGTGTAGCCAAAGAAAGAAGAAACACTAACAAATTGATATGAAATTAAAAAAAAAAAGCTTAATAAAATATGTTTTTTGATCATTCAAATTTAGAACCTCTAAAATTTGGAAGATGAAGTTTAGAATTGTCTACAAATTACACTAAATTATAGTAAGAATATTAAACAAAAAGATAATAGAAAAATAGAGAGTGAAAATAAAATTTAGGGTGAGAAGCTATAAAATTTATATAAATAAGCTTGTGTATAGAAAAGAATATAAAAACCAGCTCACCCATGAGGCTCATATTTATATTTCGATTAGAGTTTGAGCGTTATAAAATTGGCTGCATACATGTCATTATAAAGAAAAAATAAGTATCTTGTAGGCCGATATAAATGTCTCAACACGATGAATCCATTAACATAACAAATTATTTGATCTGAGTCCAAATGAAGATTAACAACATAAAGCATATTTGAAAACTTTGGACTTTAATTCAATGATCAAATGGTCTCCTAATATTACATACTTATAGTTAAATTAAAAGGATTGACAAAATAAATCCAACGAACCTAAGTTCATTTGATTCTAATATGCTATTATTGTTAAGGCACTCAAATGTTAGATAAACAATATATGATATATGGGATTAATATGAATAGAATGAATTGTTCGATGAAGTATTAGATTATAGCCAAATTTATCAAAATGTCTCTCTTCAATAGGCTACAAAATATAGCTTACATTGGTCTGTTGTTTGGGAGCTTAGGCTACCAATTAATTGGTCTTGGGTTCGAGTCTTGTGTATGCGATGTGTGTGTGAGTTTGCCTTAATTAGCCTAAATATCTAAAACAAGAGAGACTATAAAGAATGCTTAGTTTTCACCTAACACTACTAAAAAATAAGCATTTACAACACTTTTTTATGACATAATGCAGCGGTTTAAACATCTACTAATTTATTTGCAGCGGTTTAAAAACCACAGGAATTCCGTTGTATTTGCGTTCGCTGAAAATGCTTTAGGAGCGGTTTCATGAGTGCTGCTGTAGGAAGGCTATAATAGCGCTTTAGACTGGAGAAGATTCCTCCTCTTGAACTGATTACAACTTCTTCTTTACAGCTAAACAAAAAAGCTAACAAACTGATCAATCTCAACAAAAGAAATCTGGTCCCCTTTAATCTCAAACTTCAATTATCATCTATCAATGGATTAATCACTTCCCCCAATTAACCCTACTAAACCCTGGAAACCCAACTTACTAGAAATTGGAACCACCTCCACCGGCAACGTCGGCCTCTCCCTTTCTTCCTCTATGTGGCTCAGCAAATTTACAGGATTTAATCGAAGAAGCGCGCGGAAGGAAGGAAGAATGGCTACCTTCGCGGCAAGTTAACTCCTGTTGTGGTCGCTGCTGTCGCTCGAACAGAAAATGGCGAGGAAGGAGTCCGGCTAAGGCTTGAGGAGGAGGCATTTCGTATCAGACAGGAATGAACGTCTTCAAAGGAGTCGAAGAAGCTTTTTGGCGGCTCGTTCAAAACTCCGCCTATCACACGAAGGAGACGAAGTCGAATGGAGAGGGGTTGAGCGGAAGAGTCGGAGGACCGCTGATTTTTTTAGGGTGAATTTAATGGCGGTTATAACAACTGTTTATGTCTATCTATAGCAGCAATTTTAAAATCATTGGTATAAAATGCTGCTAAAACATTAATTTTTTGGTAGTGTAAAGGTGATTTAAGAGCTAAGGTTGCTTATAAACTCAATTGCATTTTGCGATAATCATCATCAATTACCATTATCAGCACTGATTGCCACCACTAACAAATTTTTATTATCCAGCTATTATCACTTCACTAATAACATACAATCCCAACTACAATAATCCTTATTGCACTCATTGGAAAAAAGAAAAAGTTTTATGTGAGATCTATCATGACTTTCTCTTTATCATTGAGAGGTTAGTTAACTCTTTCAAAATATTAGATTTATATAAATAGTGAAATTTTAAGTGGTAAAAATATAAATCCTAGAAGTTTATATTTATACATGACATTATAGCTAATAAACCTGGGCTGGATGGCCCAGCCGCCTTCGCTAAGTCTTACTGGGGCATTTCCACAAACATTATAGATTCGCAGAGCGGGGCAATGGCTTCTGCAGGAAGAACTCTTGGATCAATTTTCCAGAAAGCCACTCTTTCAAGCGGTATATTCGCCTTAAACCCGCTCCAGAAACCCTACACTTTGCACAGTACGTCTACTATTCCTCTGACGACTCTGTTCCTCTGATTCCCATCACTTTATGTTTACCACTGGTCGATGTTTCTGGTGCTAGGTTTTTTTCGAGGAATATCGCCTTCTAGATTGTCACCTGTTGTAGGTGATGCTCAGAGAAAGAGGAGGATATGCTCAACTCCCCCTGTTTGTATGGGAAGGCGTTCTTGCAAGATCGCTGGGAGAAAGGTATTGTCTTGCTCAATTGGTTTTAATGGCTTAGTTTGCAGAAGGAATTGATAAAACTGCTAACAAGTTTTCATACTGGACTTAAAAACTGGGATTGCAGCTTATCGCCAAGAGTGTTGGGCTTTTTTAAAACATACGAATCTAGCTAGGATTTGGTTATTCCAGCTGGCTGTTTGGTTGAAGTATTGCAGTCATGTTTGAGTCCTATATTGACTGCTGTGATACTTCCATAGAAAATATAGAGATATTTGGATTCTTCTCAGCTCATCAATGTCTTTCTTTCCTGCTGCAGGATGCACAAAATTTGAAGAAGATGAAAAGAAACAGTAGAATTGGGAAAGAAATTGTCTCTGCGTAAGTTCACTGAAAGAAAATTGATCATAAATGTTGATATCTGGATTTAGTGAAGTTTTAGCATGCTCTGTTTCTTTGTAATTCGGTTGGATGCTTGGATTCTTGCCTTCGATTAAAGTTTACAGGATATATAAGCAGTGTTAGAGGCCAAAAAGATATATTTGTTTGGTAGTTGTGCATTAATGATGAAATGTATCATGTAGGATTAGTTGAAAATATGCACTATAGGATCCTTTGTGCATCGAATATCAAAGTTCATAGCGATATTTCAGTTGATATTGCTATAGTATCTTTTATTTGATCTTCCCAAGTTGATAGTTTCACAGGTGAATAGTTTGTAATTCTTTGTGGTGCTTTAGATTGATCACTTTGCATGGGCTTCTTTGTTTTCTTCAATTTATACTTTCCCAACAACCAGTAATGAATCTTCCCTTTCTCTACTTTGCTGCCAATTTTCTCATTACTTGCAGTGCTATTAGTTGAACTGCAAAATTTATTCCTAGGATTAGCAGGTTGAAATGCCAGAATTCCATTTTGAACAGATTAATAAATTTATCAATGTTAAACCTGTGTGCTATGGTGGAAGAACTTCTGACTTTATGCCTAGCTTCAATGCCTTTACACTACTGGTTAGAATTTGTGGCTATTGAAGGAATTTTGAATCAAAATAGGGATTGTTAGCTTGGTGTTTGTACAAGTAAATAGAGTCGCCAGTGGCTTTTGACTTTGAGAATGGAAGATGTTTTATGATATTTTTTACTGAAGCAATGAAGATATAAATCACTTGCCCGACAATAATATACAATTTAATAGAACTTTTTAATGTATATAATTTTTGCTTGTCTTTTAGCATATTTGACTTCGTTAAATGTTAGGCAAGCCTGAGAGATTGGATTGTAAGCAACTTCAAATGTGTCACTTGTCTTGAAAGTTGAAACCAACGGCGGAACTAGCCTTAGTTCTCAGGGGGGCAAGTGACAAATTTATAAAAAAATAAAAATATATATTTTACACATAATCGCTTTTGACAGACTTGTTTATTAGTGTTAGAAAAGTTCAACATAATGAGATAAAAATTGCAGGAGGCCAAGGGGATTTCTGATTTTTGGAGGGGCAAATTGCTTGAAAAAAAGGTCGTTGGGTGCAAACAATAAATTCAGAGGGGGTATATTACAAATAACCCTTACTATACTAAGAGTTTTAATTTTGTTAGACCCCCTCAGCATTACACAATTCCGCTATTGCCTAAACTCTTCTTGCTTCCCTACTGTTATGTTCTTGAATGTTATGTTCGGTGTATACTATGAGATTGCTTGATAATATACTGCTGAAAACAATAATATCAAAATAAAGTGTGTGTAAATAGTTTTTTTTTTCCTTTTTTGTTCCTTAACATGCAGCATAAAAAAGGGTGGTCCAAATCCATCTTCGAACACAGTTTTAGCTGCTGTTTTAGAGAGAGCCAGAGAACTTGAAGTACCAAAAGAAATAGTGGAAAGGAACATAAAAAAGGCTTCTGACAAGGGTCAGGAAGCATTTATTGAGAAATTTTATGAGGTGGCTATCTAGATTTGATTGTCTCTTTTTAATTCTTTAATATTCTAAACCAATTCAGGCTTTGCAACAATTATATTTTAAATCACCTGTTCAGGTATATGGCTTTGGTGGTGTTGGCATGGTAGTTGAGGTTTTAACAGACAAAATAACCAGATCAGTGGCTGATGTTAGAGGGGTGGTAAAGGACAGTGGGGCAAAGCTTGCTGACCCAGGATCCATCTTATTCAAGTTTAGAAGAGTTCGAGTTGTTAATGTAAAGGCCAATGATGATGAAAAAGACCAGATTCTTGCTATTGCTTTAGATGCTGGTGCTGAAGATATCATTGAACCTAATGTTAAAGAGGAGGATGATTCAGAAGATAATTCGGAAAGGTCTTCAAAAACTCAATTATCCTTTCATTAAATTCAGTCATCTTTTATGCTTTAAGAAAGCACAATTTCATATTTAGGGTCAGCTTAACACTGCACAATTTGCATGACCTATTCGGTGTAGAAACGCAAGAGATATGAAACCGGAGAAAAGGAGAGCATGAGTGCATGAGTGCGATGTTGTATCTGAATATCCCAAGAAGATGCATGAGTGCGATGTTGGTGTAAGCTTCACGCGATGAACCGGGGGAAGCAACGGAAAACATTCACACCCGAATACCCGAAGGTGTTCATATGACGGTTGTATATTAAACATTCTTTTGAGCGGGGACGTGTTCTCGGTAGTCATGGACGGAAGACGATTGATTAGGTATGTAGCAGTGGATGCCGCATCTAACCAGTAGTTCATCGGGAGCCCGGCTGTCTGTAGGAGAGTTCTTGTCATGGTGATAATGTGTCTATGCTTATGATCCGCTATCCCGTTTTGTTCGGGAGTATACGGACACGAGGTTTGGTGCCTTATCCCTGCATTCTTAGTGAAAGTTTGAAACTGATTATTAACAAACTCACCTCCACCGTCAGTTCTAATGATTTTGATCTTCCTGGTCGTTTGTCTTTCGACGAACTTTGCAAAGTGGATAAACGTATTAGTAACATCAGATTTATGCATTATAGGAAATAGCCAAACGAATCGAGAGAAATCATCTACAAATATTACATAATATCTGAATCCTTGGTGTGAGGCAACCGGCGAAGGTCCCCACACGTCGGAGTGAACAAGTTCAAGAGGGGATCTAGTTCTACTGGCGGGACGTTCAAATAAGAGTTTTTGACCTTTACAGGACATACATGAGGTACAAACAGATTTAAATGGTAAAATATGTAAAGAGGGATTGCTATGTGAAATGTGTTCCAGAACTCGGTGATGGGGATGTCCAAGACGAAGATGCCAGTTCGCCGAGGGTGTGCTTGTGGCCTTTAACGCTTGTGCGGGCACACGGTTGAATTGAGTTGCGATCTTGTACATCCCTTTGTTGCACGGTCCTTTAAGGATAATTTGATTTGTCGTCCGATCCTTGAACACGAAACCGCTTGTGTCAAATGTTATAGATATAGGATTATCTTTCACCAGATTAGAGATAGATAATAAATTGTAAGATAATGAGGGAATGTGCAGAAGTCGAGAGAGAATCAGCTTACTAGCCGGGGTTGGAAGAATTCCCGAACCCATATAAGCTATTGGAACGTACCTCCCATCCTCTAAAGTTACAGTGTCATTGCCGTTGTAGGTATTGTAGAACTCCTGATTCTCGGTTGTGTTTGTCATGTGGGACGAAGCTCCGGAATCAATGTACCAGTCAGCGGTCGAGTTGCTGTCATTGTTAGCGACGAGAGCACTGTTGTTCTTGACAGAAGTTTGATTTGGTGTGTAATTGGGATTGAGTCTATGCCAGCAGGCGTCCGCACTGTGACCCTTCTTCTTCAATATTTGACAGGTAATAGCGGAGTTCGGGTTGTGAGTAAGCACCGGAGCGTTGTTGGGCGCAGGTCTTCTGCGTCCGCGCCTGCCACGACCCCTGACCGTATACAGGGCAGATTGGTTGTCCGGCATTTTTGGAAATTTTAATGCCGCAGATTTGAGATGGATCTCTTCACTTATGAGAAGGGCGTACAAGGTGTCGAGAGACAACGAACCTTGCATAGTGCGAATTGTGGTCGTAAACGACTGATATGCCGGAGGTAGTCCGTTCAAGATGTATATCATCACATCTTCTGGATCAACCGTTGAACCAGCCGAGGCGATCTGATCCACGATCTTCTTGATCTCAGTAAGATACTGAGTCATTGACATCGTTTGCATTGAGACATTGTGAATAACCTTGGATCGATTAAAAGATTGAAACCGAGTGTGGAGCGTCGCCCATGTTTCTTGGGTTGATTCAAGATGAATCACATAGGGAAGAACTACCGGCGAAATGGTGGAACACATGGCCGTGGCAAGATTTTGATCTGTGATTTGCCATGTTCTCATATCTTGATTCGGATCGATGTTTTCTAGAGTCGATTTTTTATCAAGAAACGCAGCGAAACCGTTTGCCTTGAGCAGTTTTGCGATTTGAGTGCTCCAAATGGGGAAGTTGTCCGGTGTTAGAGCATGTTGAACCAAGAATTTGAGGTTCGAGATCACAAACTTTAATGATGGAGAGATGCCCGGAGTTGATACAGTGGCTCCGGAGGTTGTGCCGATCGATGCTCCGGAGGTTGTGCCGATCGATGAGGACGCAGAGGCTTGATTCGCCATGGGCAGGGTCCTTAAGATCGTCCGGCTCTTGATACCATGTAGAAACTCAAGAGATATGAAACCGGAGAAAAGGAGAGCAGATTCAGAGAATAAGAAACTCTGAAACTAAACTTTTATTAATTGATTTCTTGTGCCTTGATACAGCCAATCACATGTATATATAATCTTTCCTATGACAAGAGATACACGTGTAATAATATAAGTGGATACAAGATATATAAGCAGATATTCCAACGGTCCTTAACATTCGGGTGTCTTTGCTTATTAATATTTGAATAAATTCATTTCATAAAACTATCCATGGTACATTATTCCATATGGGTATTTAAAATCTAATTTTAGTGCAGTCGTCGAATGGGAAATTTTTTTTTTCTTGCTAAGTTATCTCCTAAAAGTTTTGGATGGGTGTATTGCTTCACATGGATATTTAAAATCAAATTTTAGTGCAGTTATAGAATGGAAAGTGATAAGTCACCAAAAAGTCTTCTTGATCTTGCACGGATCTCGAGAAATATTCAAGTTGAAAACTTTCAAATTAAATTCGAGACCATATGAACTCAAATTTCAGCAAACTTATAGTAAAACTGAATGTTTCGAAGAGAAACCCAACAACACTAAAATTGACCAAATCTGAGCTAAAATGGGTCTGAATTAAGAGTCGGAAGCATATTTGGAAGGTTCAAAGCATTATTTGGATGACAAAATGATATCTAAATATGGCATGCTTATAGTCGAATCGAGCGGCTCGGCAAGACAAATCTAACGAATCCAAAATCGTTGAATTCAAACATCATTAAGGCACTTAAACACTTAAAAAATGCTCTATGATCGAGGAAATAATATGAGCCATACGATGGAGCATTTCAAACTTGCTCCGGATCTTCTCTATATTTATGATGTGTGCCACTCATGAAAATTTATAAATAGACCCCCTACTCTCTACATGAGAGGGGACATTTGGCTGCAGATTGTAGAGAGCTCTAAGGCTTCAAGAGCTCCAGCACCACCTCCGGCGAACCTCCGTCGACCGTCGCCGGACCACCGCATGGCGCCGATTGCTTCCAAATCACTGCTCGGTTGGCGTTTGTAGTTGGACTTCCACCCGACCATCGTCGGACCACCGTCCGGGCGCCGACTGTTGTCGAACTTTCACCTGGTTGCCAACAATCATCGGGCTTCTTCCCAACTATTGTTGAACGAAAGGACGAGTGTACTTCGTTTATTTGTTAGTGATGTCACTTGTAATTCCTTTCCCATTATTGATACTATTATTATCATTACTATCGTTCTTATTTGCCTTCTTATTATCTGTTATATTGGATTTTGATACTTTTGAAATTTTCAATAAATTTTTACCTCCCTACGCAAGGATCCTTACAGCTGCTTAATTCTGCAGCTATTATAAGATTGTCGTCTCTACAGAAAACTACTCTGATATACTATCAAAATTACGAGATGCAGGTGTAGCTTTTGAACCAGATAATGGTTTTGAGCTCTTGCCACTAAACCCCATTGAGGTTTGTATCATTTGCTGCACCATATGCTATTTCCTTTCCCTTAATGATATGGGTGGTTAATGTTGCCCACTGGAGTAATTGAAAACATGTTAAAGCTTTTTGAAAGCTACACACCCATTTCATACTTTGCCCCACTCGATCAAGGGCGGAACCAGCTTCGATTTTGAGGGGGGGGGGGGCAAATAAATTCCGCTATTGCCTAAACTCTTCTTGCTTCCCTACTGTTATGTTCTTGAATGTTATGTTCGGTGTATGCTATGCGATTGCTTGATAATATACTGCTGAAAACAATAATATCAAAATAAAGTTTGTGTAAATTGTTTTTTTTTTCCTTTTTTGTTTCTTAACATGCAGCATAACAAAGGGTGGTCCAAATCCATCTTCGAACACAGTTTTAGCTGCTGTTTTAGAGAGAGCCAGAGAACTTGAAGTACCAAAAGAAATAGTGGAAAGGAACATTAAAAAGGCTTCTGACAAGGGTCAGGAAGCATTTATTGAGAAATTTTATGAGGTGGCTATCTAGATTTGATTGTCTCTTTTTAATTCTTTAATATTCTAAATCAATTCAGGCTTTGCAACAATTATATTTTAAATCACCTGTTCAGGTATATGGCTTTGGTGGTGTTGGCATGGTAGTTGAGGTTTTAACAGACAAAATAACCAGATCAGTGGCTGATGTTAGAGGGGTGGTAAAGGACAGTGGGGCAAAGCTTGCTGACCCAGGATCCATCTTATTCAAGTTTAGAAGAGTTCGAGTTGTTAATGTAAAGGCCAATGATGATGAAAAAGACCAGATTCTTGCTATTGCTTTAGATGCTGGTGCTGAAGATATCATTGAACCTAATGTTGACGAGGAGGATGATTCAGAAGATAATTCAGAAAGGTCTTCAAAAACTCAACTATCCTTTCATCAAATTCAGTCATCTTTTATGCTTTATGCAAGCACAATTTCATATTTAGGGTCAGCTTAACACTGCACAAATTGCATGACCTATTAGGGTGTCTTTGCTTATTAATATTTGAATAAATTCATTTCATAAAACTATCAATGGTACATTATTCCATATGGGTATTTAAAATCTAATTTTAGTGCAGTCGTCGAATGGGGGGAAAAAAAAATCTTGCCAAGTTATGTCCTAAAAGTTTTGGATGGTTGTATTGCTTCACATGGATATTTAAAATCAAATTTTAGTGCACTTATAGAATGGAAAGTGATAAGTCACCAAAAAGTCTTCTTGATCATGCACAAATCTCGAGAAATATTCAAGTTGAAAACTTCTAAAATTAAATTCGAGACCATATAAACTCCAATTTCAGCAAACTTATAGTAAAACTGAACGTTTCGAAGAGAAACTCAACGACACTAAAATTGACCAAATTTGAGCTCAAATGGGTTTGAATTAAGAGTCAGAAGCATATTTGGAAGGTTCAAAGCATTATTTGAATGACAAAATGATATCTAAATATGACATGCTTATAGTCGAATCGAGCGGCTCGACAAGACAAATCCAACGAGTCCAAATTCGTTGAATTCTAACATCATTAAGGCACTTAAACACTTAAAAAATACTCTATGATCGAGGAAATAATATGAGCCATACGATGGAGCATTTCAAACTTGCCCCGGATCTTCTCTATATTTATGAGGTGTGCCACTCATGAAAATTTATAAATATACCCCCTACTCTCTACATGAGGGGGACATTTGACTGCAGATTGTAGAGAGCTCTAAGGATTCAAGAGCTCCAGCACCACCTCCGACGAGCCTCCGTCGACCGTCGTCGGACCATCGCCTGGCGCCGATTGCTGCCAGATCACTGCTAGGCTGCCGATTGTAGTTGGACTTCCACCCGACCATCGTCGGACTACCATCCGGCCGCCAACTGTCGTCAAACTTTCACCTGGTCGCCGACAGTCGTCGGGCTTCTGCCCAACTATTGTTGAACTACCGCTTGGTCGCAGACAACTGTTGGTCTACCACTTGGCCCTCGACCGCCATTGGAATTCCACTTGACCATCGTCGGACCACCGTACGGCCTCCAAACGTTGTCAAACTTCCACCCGGCCCCCGAAAGCTGTCGTTCTACCACTCGGCCGTTGATCGCCGCCGAACTTCTGCCCTGTCGCCAACCTCTGCTCGACTTCCACGCGACCATCATCGAGCCACCACCCGACCGTCAATCTCCGTCGGACTTCCCTAGCTGCCAACAGCCGCTGAACCTCCTCAAGCGACCAACCATTGTTAGTACTCCATCGGACTGGCAAGTATGGTCTCTCCGACCACAGTCGCCCGCCAACTATGTTCCCTCCGACCACCGTCGTCTACAGACTACAGTTACTCTGATCTCCGTCGCTCGCCGACTATGGTCCCTCTGACCTCTGTCGCTCGCCGACTATGGTCCCTCCGGCCTCCGTTTCCCGTTGACTATGATCCCTCCGACCTCTGTCGCTTGGCGACTATGATCCCTTCTGATGCAGTGCACGTTTAGCTACGGTGTGCTGGGGAGCACCGACTACTCCTCAACGGTTTCTGACATCCACTCCCAACTTTCCTTTTTTAGTTACTACACTCCACTACTTTGTTTTGCAGTATTTTCAATTTTAGAATTACCTCTTTAGATGAAGGTTTATATAGGAGAATGCCTGAAGATGAAAGGCAGAGAAAGTTATATCCTCCTTTTTTTTACAAAAGCAATAGAACAGAACCTGAATATACAGGTTTTCTGATAATTCCGGTTGGAAATTCTTGTTTCTCTGTTTAGTTTCTTCTTTGCAGGATTCTTACCGATCGAGAGGAGCTGGAGCTGCGCCAGGTTGGTATCAGAGCCTCGCTTGAGAAGGCAATGGCAGATCGTGGCAAGGAACCCATTACCGAAGAAGTGCGAAGTCTTGACGCGCTTTGGGCAAACCAGAAGGATTTTGATCGCAGGCTGAATGAGCTTTCGGCCGACGTGCAGAAGCTCGCAGTGGATATTCGCCGGGAGTTCAATCTCCTTCGTGCGAGACCGCTACCGTATCAAACACCACCAGTTGAACCACAAGGAGTCCGGCCGAGAGGAAGAAGGGGCGTGAATGCGGCCAAGCCATTTCGTTGCACAGCCCCCATTCGACAGGACTTGTCGGATTCAGATGAAGAACCGCAGTTTCAGAAGGAAGCGGAGTTGCTGGAATCGGACGATGCGGAAGATGACGCCCTGTATCAATGTGACTACCCGAGATACCGGAGAGCATTTACTCCCCGCCTTTCGCCAGGTGAATTTAAGGCCAAGCTTGATATTCCCTATTTTGACGGGCGTATGCATATTGAAGATTATTTGGATTGGGAAAAGGCAGTAGAAAACTTCTTTGAGTACATGGAAGTGCCACCGGATAAGCAAGTGCGATACGTCGCTTGTCGCCTGAAGGGCGGTGCTAGTGCCTGGTGGGCACAGATGTTACAGATGCGGACAAGAGAAGGTAAAGGGAGTGTGCGGGACTGGAACCGCATGAGGCAACTCTTGAGAGCTCAATTCTTACCCACAGATTATGAGCAAATTCTATACATGAGGTATCAACATTGCTCGCAAGGTGACCGATCCGTGAGCGATTACACCGAAGAGTTCCATAGATTGTCGGCCAGAAACAATCTTAATGAATCAGCTAATCACTTAGTAGCCCGTTACATCGGGGGGGTTAAAGGACAGCATTCAGGATCGACTGGAATTGAATTCCGTATGGTCGATGGCTCAGGCAGTGAATCTGGCTATGAAGGTTGAAATGCAACAAGTCAGACAATCTAAAATTCCTTCTGCTAGACGGCATTGGCATGAAAACGTCACTTCTGGTAAGAGTAGTACTCATGGATTTAAGCCAACAACCCCAGGGGAATCGTCTGTCAAGTTTCCCTCCCCGAATCAAATAGCCAATGATCCCCGGGCACCGCTTAAATCTAAACCCACGGTTAAGGAGAATCCATACGCCAAACCGTCTACACTTAAATGTTTTCGATGCTTCCAGCCCGGTCATAAATCGAATGAGTGCCCGCAGCGACAACAAGTCCACATAGCTGAAGGAGATGAATGAATAGTCCAAGAAGTGGATGAGGCGAATCAGGATTGTGATTCCGAGGATGTGCCCGCTGATGAGGGAGAAGCCCTTGTATGCGTACTTGAGAGACTGCTACTAGCACCTCGACAATCCGCGAATCTACAACGCCATTCTATTTTCAAAACCCGCTGCACTATAGGTGGCAAGGTGTGTGACCTTTTGATCGACAATGGATGCACGGAGAATGTGATTTCGAGAGCTGTCGTTCAAAGCTTACAGTTGAAAACTGTTAAGAATGCGCATCCTTATAAGATCAGCTGGGTCAAACGGGGAGTTGAGATTCTGGTCTCCGAATCATGTCAAGTGACGTTTTCGATAGGGAAACAGTATGTGTGCGAAGTTTTGTGCGATGTCCTTGATATGGATGTCTGCCATTTGATCTTAGGTAGACCATGGCAATTCGATGTTGGCGCCATCTATGACTGCCGAGCTAATGTATATTCATTTGTGTGGAATGGACGACGCCTCCGGCTACTACCCACAGCTAATGAAACAAAGTCCAAACTTCGACAACCTCAAAAGCAGACATCGGTACAGATACTCTCAGGGGCAGGACTTTTACATTGCTGGAAAGAGCCAGCACCCTTATACGCTCTGTTAGTGACTGAACAGAGCCAAAGTTCACTACCGCACACTTCGCACCAAGACATTCTGCATCTTCTGCACCAGTACCGGGATATTACTCCTGATCACCTACCCGAAGAACTGCCACCACTTCGGAATATTCAGCATCAAATTGAATTGGTACTCGGTGCAGTTTTGCCAAACTTGCCACATTACAGACTCAACCCCAAAGAACAGCTCATTTTACAAGAATTGATAGATGATTTACTAAAGTGCCAATTTATACAGACCAGTCTGAACCCATGCGCTGTCCCGGCGCTGTTAGTACCTAAAAAGGATGGAAGCTGGCGAATGTTTGTCGACAGTCGCTCCATCAACAAAATTACAATCAAATACCGTTTTCCGGTTCCCCGCATTGATGAATTATTGGACAGGCTTACGGGATCTTCTATTTTTTCAAAACTGGACTTGCGTAGTGGATACCACCAAATCCGAATCCGCCCCGGGGATGAGTGGAAGACTGCATTTAAAACGCCACAAGGATTGTATGAGTGGAAGGTGATGCCCTTTGGGCTGTGCAACGCACCTTCCACCTTTATGAGAATGATGAATGAGGTTCTAAAGCCATATCTGGGAAAATTCTGTATTGTCTATTTCGATGACATACTGGTTTACAGTACTTGTATAGACGACCATGTGAAGCATTTGCAGACGTTATTTGATGTACTCAGGCAACACAAATTGTTCCTCAACCTCCCGAAATGCGAGATGGCAGTTCCAAGGGTGCACTTCCTGGGATTTGTTATTGATGCTCACGGTATTCACATGGACCCTCAGAAGATAAGTGCTGTCCGTGACTGGCCGCCCCCTACCTCATTCTTTGAAGTCAGGAGTTTCCATGGGATGGCGAACTTCTACAGAAAATTCATTCGAAATTTTAGTATTTTTATGGCTCCTGTGACCGACTGTTTAAAGGGCAAAACATTCCATTGGGGCAGTGAACAACAGCAAAGTTTTGAGATCATCAAACAGGCCTTAACAACAGCTCCCGTACTAGCATTACCAAACTTTGATAAGGTGTTTAAGGTGGAGACCGATGCGTCGTCCGTAGGAATCGGAGCAGTTCTCTCGCAAGAAAACAGACCTGTAGCTTTCTTCAGCGAGAAACTAAGTGAAGCTCGTCAAAAGTGGTCAGCTTACGAGCAAGAGCTTTATGCTGTCATTCGATCCTTGAGACAATGGGAGTTGTATTTGCTACACCAAGACTTTGTATTATGCAGTGACAACAAGGCATTGCAATATCTCAATAGCCAGAAGTCCATAAACAGAATGCACGCACGGTGGCTTATGTTCCTCCAAAGGTTTTCATTCACGTTCCAACACAAGCCTGGGGTGAAAAATCGCGTTGCAGACGCTCTCAGTAGGAAGACTCTTGTTGTCACGCGGTTGCAGACTGAGACGGCCGGCCTGGAATGTCTCAAGGAGCTATACGAAGACGATCCTGATTTCAAAGAAACCTGGAAGCTGTGCCACGGCCCAAATCCTGTTTCAGGATTTTCAATCAGGCATGGTTTTCTTTTTAAATTAAACTTACTCTGCATTCCCATTTCGTCTTGGCGCCAATTCTTAATCAGGGAAGCTCATGGTGGCGGCCTAGCTGCTCATGCTGGGCGTGACAAAACTCTAAACCTGGTTCAATCACGTTTTTATTGGCCACGGTTACGTCGAGATGTTGTGCGTTTAGTGGACAGCTGCGCTATTTGTCAAACCTACAAGGGAGGAGCTCAAAACACGGGCCTTTACATGCCCCTGCCCGTTCCCGACTCAATTTGGGAAGACCTCAGTCTAGATTTTGTTCTGGGCCTGCCTCGATCTCGGCGGGGTAATGATTCTATCATGGTAGTCGTCGACAGATTCTCCAAGATGGCGCACTTCATTCCATGTAAGAAAACCTTGAACGCTATGTCCGTTGCTCATATTTTCTTCAGCGAAATTGTCCGCTTACATGGTGTACCCCGAAGTCTCACTTCTGACCGTGACGTCAAATTTATAAGCCATTTTTGGCGCGAGCTATGGAAGCGCTTGGGTACTGATATTCGTCTTAGTTCCGCATATCATCCACAATCTGACGGCCAGACAGAGGTTGTTAATCGCACCTTAGGCAACATGTTGCGTTGTCTTGTGCAAGATCACCCTAAGCAATGGGAAGATATGTTAGCCAGGGCTGAGTTCGCCTTCAACTCAATGATTAACCGATCTACAGGGAAATCTCCCTTCAGTATTGTATACACCAGAGCACCGAATACAGTCCTGGATGTTGCCATTATACCCAAATGTAAGGCCCCAGCCGCAACCACTTTTACTGAAGAGTATGCCGATATGTTGGAGGAGATCCGGCAACGCATTATAAAGTCTAATCTGAAGTACAAGGAAACTGTTGATCGTCGTCGCAGACTACGACTTTTTAATGTAGGAGACTTGGTCATGGTACGCCTTCGGAAGGAACGTTTCCCACCAGGATCCTATTCAAAATTGATGCCACGAAAGGTAGGTCCAGTTCCTATAACCGCCAAAATTAACGATAATGCATATACTGTGGCTTTACCCAAGGACTTGAATATGTCCTCAACGTTCAATGTTTCGGACATTTCTGCCTATACGCCCCCTGATGAAGCCATTGTCAGTATTAGCTCGTCGGAGTCGAGCTCTTCTGAAGCGGGGGATGACTGATGCAGTGCACGTTTAGCTACGGTGTGCTGGGGAGCACCGACTACTCCTTAACGGTTTCTGACATACGGTCCCTTCGACCTCCGTTGCTCGCTTACTACAGTCCCTCCACCACTGTCGCCTGACGATTACAATCCCTCTAATCTCAATTGCCCAAATATTTCCTTGTCAATCAAATGAACAGGCCAACGTTCTCTTGAGAATGACTTCTTTATCATTGGATTCTTTCAACCCCAAGTATGTAATATGCTCTATATGATACTTTTTTTAATGCTCTATATGATACTTTTTTTTAATGATCTATATGATACATTGAGCCAATGTCTTCCCCCCGCGGAAGGGCACCATTTGTAATCGACTACAAACACTAGTGAAATCATTTTAAGTAGGCCAGGCCCCCATAGTTTTTTTCTTTTTCAGGGTTTTCCACATAAAAATCTTGGTGTCTCTTATGACTCTCGCACCCTTATCTTTCATCTGTTTGTGTGTTGGATCTTCGTATAAAGCTAGGTTACTAAACTCCAAATATCTCTGCCGCTACGAATTTTCTAGGACACAACATAAAGTAAAGCAAATTTTCTCGCCAAAGTTATTTCCTAAATGTTTTGTGAGTTGCTTGTCCTATACGCAACATATAATTGAATTTTTTTTTTCCTGAAATGCCATTGCATTGCTTCTTCTAGAATCTCTGCAATTCATTTTATTAAAAAAAAAAGAGAAGTAGCCATTATGTCTGACCAAACATTTTTATTGCTATATTTTTCTTTTTTCTGATGTTCATCCTGTATCCTTTTTTTTTTGGGTGATGAGGGAATACGATTCCAGAACTTTGGCAATAATGTCTAAGATCTTTATCAATTAGGTTAGCTAATACTCACGTTCATTTCATATTTTATCAAGCTACTAAAAGAAAGGACGAGTGCACTTCGTTTACTTGTTAGTGGTGTCACTTGTAATTCCTTTCCCATTATTGTTACTATAATTATCATTACTATCGTTCTTATTTGCCTTCTTATTATCTGTTATATTGGATTTTGATACTTGAAATTTTCAATAAATTTTTAACTCCCTACGCAAGGATCCTTACAGCTGCTTAATTCTGCAGCTATTATAAGATTGTCGTCTCTACAGAAAACTACTCTGATATACTATCAAAATTACGAGATGCAGGCGTAGCTTTTGAACCAGATAATGGTTTTGAGCTCTTGCCACTAAATCCCATTGAGGTTTGTATCATTTCCTGTACCATATGCTGTTTCCTTCATCTTAATGATATGGGTGGTTAATGTTACCCACTGGAGTAATTGAAAATATGTTAAAGCTTTCTGAAAGCTACACGCCCATTCCATACTTTGCACCAGTCGATGGAACTAATAAATTGATTTGAGATCATTTACTGGTTATTCTGAACTTTATTTTTTTTTCCTTCTCAGCAAACTGATTAATTATTCTGTGCTGACACCGAATGCTGTATGGAGACCAAGCAGAATGTTCCACACCCCTGTGCTCGGTATTGTGGCTCGATACCGCTGACGTGGCGCATTCTGATTGGTTTCTGGATGGTGTTCTGCATATGGTCTCTGCATATAATAATTTCTCCAGCAAACTCCTGCATTAGTTAATTCCAAAACTTTGCGGGCTAAGGTTCTTTGTTTTGTTATTTTCAACAGGTAGATGATGAAGCCATGGATTTAAACAAGGAGCTTATGTCCAAGCTGCTTGAACTTTATGATGTTGATGCCGTTTACACTGATCAAAAGTGATTTTTTAAGAAATGATACCCGATTAACAGTATTCTTCTTTTCCCTCTTTTTTCTGTTTTACATCGAAGTTTTCATTTACAGTTTCTTTCTGTTCTCCTATGAACTTGGGGGATGTTTATATATATAAAATGTTTTGTGGGTTGAATTTTCTGCTCCTTGGATTCATTTATTTTGATGTTATAACCTTCAAATATAAGATTCAAACCTTTTTTTTTTCTCTCCACCATTAAAAGAGTGGCGTACACAATTTCATGGGCTGACAATACTTGAATTTATTGGATGATTTTGATTGCTAAAATTAGAATTCTAAGTGGCCTTCTATAATTGTCCAATCATCCTTACTTTTTTCATAGAATTATCATAAAAACTGATAAAACTTAAATCCATAAGCAATTTTCATGCCTTAGGCTTTGTTGGGGACGTACTAAAAAATTACTTTAAATAGAAAAAAAGTTGTTCCAAACGAAGTTTTATATTACTAACTAGAATGTGATGCTGGCCTGCTGGGGTTGAAAATCACATGAGACATAACATAAATAAAATCAAGTAATGTGTTAGACCGGCCCAAGGGCCGGCTGAACCGGTCCATCCTAGACCGGTTCACATTTACAGGAGGATGGCCCGAGGGGCGGGGGGCTGATTGGATGCGGCCTACGACTAATGAAGCATTGCATTGGAGGGAAAATTCAAATTAGAGGCTGTTTAGGGATTAAGAATTTGTCATTTTGCTTTAATTAGTTTCTTCTTGTTAGGGTTAGGGTTATCTTGAATTAAATCTGAAACTTAAGATTAAGGTGTTGGTTTTGGGCTCCAGACATTGGCTAGAGATTTGAGAGCTGAATCTTCCTCTCGTATTAAAGATTCGTTGTATCGGGTTGTTTCTTTTCTTCTATTATTGAATTTCAAGAGCTTTCTTCTTGATTATTTGTACAGATTTTATAAAATCTCCACTGTGATTGCTGAATTTCTTCTCTGTTTTTGATAGCTATTTCCTAACATAATGCTCATCTTAAACTAGTTAATGCAAAACTCCATAAAACTATAAATAACTATTTGCATTTGTGTTACCAATCATCTGGTATATCCTCTCCCTTAGTACTAAAACTAAGCTTATTTGATATATTTTACCTTTTTTGCGGTCTTTTCCAGCTTTCTTGACAGTGCACTGGTCTGCGGATTTTGAATGTCTTAGTTACTCATTCAGGATTTGTTTGAGATTTCTCAGATCTCAAGTGAGTATATTTTTCCTATGGCCTTCTGATTTTTTTTCTTAATATAAAATGTGATCGATGCACATAGAGTGAACTGAATTTCTTTAATGTAAAACATGTCAAGACATTTACTTATAAAAAATATTATTTTTGATTTATCAATCTGAATAAATTTTAGGCAAATTGGATAACTGTGATGACCTTTTGAAACCTTCTTTTCTTTCAAATTATTAATAATTTAAAGCATAGCTCTTGATCTTCACTATTTCATGCATGCCTTACTCTTTTATGTTAGATGAATTCGCCTCGTGCAGCCGCTCAATTCAACTATAGGCATGTCATATATGAAGATCATTTGATCGTCCAATTAATACTTCAAAACTATGTTTCCAGTCTTTGATTTGGGCTCACTTGGGCTCGGACCAAACCGTTTTTAGTGTCGTTGGATTCGTCTCGTCGAGATGGTTAGTTCAACGAGAATTTTGTTGAAATCTAAGTTTGGATGATCCTAAATTTAATTTCAGAAGTTTTTAATACAAATGTGCATCGAGATTTGTGCTCATTCATGTTCATTTTTTGTGACTATCAAAGAGTAATACTAATTTTAATTTTTGTACTGAAAAGCTGTTTTAAGATTCGGCAAGAAAGCAAAGCCATCCCAAATGAAGCCTGTAAATTTATGTACTATTTATGGGGCCCATAATACTTAAAAATAATTCGCAAAATGCTAAAAATATTCTATCAAATAATACTGAAACAATTGGGTGTATGGAGGCTGCATATTTAAATATTTTGAAAGAATCGATTAAAATTAATCGCGGCGTTATTATGGCCAGACTGGCTATTTATTAATCTGAATCAAACGGTGTCGGTGAGGTGTAATAGGTTAATTAATAGCTGGCAGTTAACCCCTGCATCTATTGAAAACGCGCGTTCTGTTGACTTTCTAAACTGATTAAGCTTCTGGGACCGCATTTGTAATAATGTATAAAGTTTGTGTGAACGGCTTCTTTGAAAAACTGCCTCTTGCGAGCATAATTTAATGAAATGGCAGTCTTGTTTAATGAAATAGCAATGACTTGTTTTAATTTTGGTATTGATGACGGTGATTCGATATATTAATTTCTATATAAGAGGGGAGATTAGAGAGTAGGATAGCAAGTATTGATTTTTAGGGGTGTCAATTTTCGACATGACCCGAAATTTGACCAAGAAAAATTCGGGTTCGGGTCAACCCGTTTGTGAAACGGCCGGATTCAGATTGACCGGTAACCCGAAAATGACCCGAAAACCCTCTGTATGTGTCTGCTGCCCGCCTTGCCCAAAGCATCGAGTGCCCGGTCGAACCTGAGTTCGCGTGCTGCCGCTCGAAGTGTCGAGTCGCATCCCGATGCATCAAGTCGCGTGAGTCCAAAGCGTTGAGTCGCTTTGTGTGCGTGGTGCGTCCCAAAAATCGAGTGTGTCACTGGCTCGCTGTGTCGCATGCTGCCGCTGCCACTGTGCCGCCGGGAGTAGCGACCGGAAACCCAGGCGTTTGAGATTTATTTCAAAAGTTTGAGTCGAGTCGTGTCAACCCGACAACCCGTGCGGGTCGAGTCCGGGTTGGAAAAGCTGACCCGGTTACAAAAATTGGTTGGGTTCGAGTTGACCCGTTTAGAGTAGGTTCAACTCAGATTCGACCCGAACTTGACCCTCTGACCCGAATTGACACCCCTATTGATCTTGTTAGCGATAATAAGTGTCGAGGTTATTACGAGGAGGATAGTAATCAAGAAGGGGGATATCGACTTTGTTGGTGATGGTGGGTGTTAGTATTTGTGGTGAAAGCGGATATTAGTCTCATTGTCGATTGTGATCAATGATTTTGAGCGATGAGGTCATTGGCAATGGTACGTGCTAACCTTGTTGGGGGCGATGAGCCAAGCAATCTTTTAACGACGACATAAATTGAAGGACATTTAAAAAAAAAGCTTTTAATATAGTCGAATTAGATTCAATTTAAATCCAAATAGTCGAAATATAACTATCTAAATAGTTTATTAGGCATATTTCAAGTTAATCTACGACCCAAACATTACATGTTTACCCCTATATTATCATACATATATAAGTTAAGTATGACTCAAATTTCACAATGATACATTCATTCAACTTAACTTGTGATTATCGGGCCGGGTATGAATTTGACCTGATTCAAACATATTTAACATGAACTCTACTTGTTTATCATGCAGATTGAATACAATATCAAAACTCAACCAGTTTATAATATATGTGTAAACTAAAAAATAAAATTTTTATATCATATTTGTGTCATGATGATGCGAAATTATTATGTGTAGTCATTGGACGCCGTCCGGAGATCAATCAGTACGCGTGCACATCACTAATACGCTATGTATCAATATTGTGCACCAATATGTATCGGGTGACGTGATGCATCACGATTGGCCTCCGGACAGTCCGATGATCATACGTAATAATCTTTCCAGTATGACAGACAATATCATAAGTTGAAAACCTGGCTATATAAATAAGATAAGTCAAAAAGAAATTGATGAATCTTACTAGAACAATAGACATTTGGCTAAAACTTTCTAGATGTGGACAAACATGATTTGCCTATTTCTTATAACAACAAAGCCAATTCTAGAGTTTGGGTGCATATGATTAAATATGATATAGAAAGAATGAAGAACTAAAAAAAATTATAATATGATTTAGACATTAATTAACATCATTATTTATGATTATTAGTATATGAGTATATAAAAAAGAATTTAAGGTTATCATTAAAAAATAATTAAATATACCATGAAAATATTTCTCTAAATATATTTCCATAATATCTTACAAAATAAAAATATTTTATAATATTTTTGGGCAAGTGGAAATTACACGCCAATATTTTTGGTGGATGGAGGAGTTCAGCTAATGAGTATCTGTCCTACTAAAAGGCAAAATTATGCTAAAATTCAGGAAAAGGACTTTCTACCTATAACAATTATGTGAGGCCATTCTACCTTTCAATATATATATATATATATATGGTTGGTAATATTTATATCTTAGATTTGGTTTGGGACGATTTTTTTAGTACTTATAGTGACTTTTTAGTATCAAAATTTTAGGGTAGGGGAGCAACTCCTCTATCCCTAGTCACGGGCCTTTCATTCCTGGGTAGGCTGCCCTAGAAGAGAGTGAGGCAGGTTAGCAAGAAGCTCATAGAGAAACTCTTCTGGCACCTGCCGCTACGCAGCCTGCCTTCTCCCTCTTATGTTAAGCATCTACGTCCGTACCTCTCATATGCTTCTAATTCCGTCGCCGCCCACCACTACGCCTCTCCACGCCTCCTCTCTTGCATTCTCCCCTTCCAACAAATGGAGGTCGAGATGACATCTCGAGAGAAAGGTTCTCAGCCATGCGATCGGACCTCTGAGTTATCCTTTTCAGATAAGGATATAGGCCTCGTCTGCAAGTTTAGGATGTCGGATTTCACCATCTAAGATCGCTTGAGCTTCGGCCTCTGACCTCCAGTCTTGTAAATTATAGATAAATAATTATAAATGATGACATACTATTATAATTGGCGTGTATGAGTTGTGTAATCAGTTTATTTTGTGATCATTGATGGAGAAGGCCTCATATAGTATGATCTCGTAATCTTGTCGTCTCATGCTTGAGACTCTTGTAATATTGTAGCTCCTGCATTAAATACCTTACAAATCATTGTAATCAACACTCATATAGTATGATCATTTTGGATGAAGAAGGCCCCATAGTTTTTTTTTTTTTTTTTTCACATAAAATTTTGTGTCATCCTTGTACATTTCATTTACCTTATACATTGGATTATCATACAAAGTTATGACGCAAAATTCTCATTCTATCCCAACAAATTTTTTAGCCCACAATAATGATAATTAATTAGATAATCAATCAAATAATTAGTCATAAATTAACAATGAACAATTTATTATGAATAATTCAAAATTAATTATATAAATATTCATCAAGGTAGTTATTTAACTCTCATAGAATAACAACATTAATTATATACATATAAAGATAATTAATTAAAATACTAACTAATATAATATATTACTCTTACTTAATTTTAATAATAATAATTTAAATATTATATCGAGGTTTAATTATTTCTATATTTAAAATAATAATAATAACTACAAATTTGGCCTGATAAAGGGGTGTAAGTGAGTCGAGCCGAGTTTATCGAGTTCACGAGTCAAGCTTGAGCTTGAGCCGGCTAGGCTTGTGAGCTCGCAAGCCGGCTCAAGTAATAAAAAAATAATTTTATTTTGTTTATTAAATTTAAATATTTTTAAAAATAAATAAGAATCACTTAAGTTTTATTTAAATTTTAAACATTGCATCTTTTTTTTGTAAATCCCGCCTAAATTTTTAAAATCCCGCTTAAGTTTTAAAATCTCACATGAGTTTTAAAAATCATGTCTAAATTTTAAAAATCTCACACATGACTCGCGAGCCCGCTCGAGCTCATTTACAGTACAAGAAGCTCAAGCTCGTGCTATTTATAGTACACATGACTCGCGAGCCCGCTCGTGCTCACTTTTAGAGACTAAAGAGCGGAGTTCAATAAGGCCTATAATCCATTTGACTCTACCCAATTCTTTTGGTTTTCTCTATTCTTATATGGTATTTATATATAATATATTCCATATTATATCTTTTTTCACTTCCCCTTCTCTTTGCTGTGATTCCACTCCTTCTCTGTCTACATTTTCTTCCTATCCCCATTCTCTCTCCTTGGAGGGAGAAGGGAGCAGACGAGAAATCCCGAAAATGGCTCGGCTCCTCAGGGAGAGAGGAAGCCCTGGGCACTCCAGGAGGGAATCTGCTGGCAACTCCCTGCGTCTATCGTTGTCGAAGTCGGGGATGAGCTCGAGTTCGGCGGAGTTGCTTCCTTCGCCTTTCGGCGAGTTGAGCTGCAAATTGTCAGATGCGGAGCTCCGTGAGACCGCGTACGAGATCTTCGTCTCCGCGTGCCGAACCACTACTGGGAAGCCGCTTACGTTTATTTCTCAGCCGGAGAAGGAGGCGGCGGTGTCGGCGACGCCGCCGTCAGCTGAACGGTCGCCATCGCCGTCGTTGCAGAGATCGCTGACGTCGACGGCGGCCAGTAAGATGAAGAAGGCGCTGGGACTGAAGCCATCGAAGAAAAACCCAGTGAAGGATAGCAGTCCATCGAGGACGGTGAAGAAGCCGGCGACAGTGGGAGAGTTGATTAGGGTGCAGATGGGAGTGTCGGAGCAGACGGATTCGCGGATCCGACGGGGGCTGTTGAGAATCTCTGCCAGTCAGGTGAGCTGGAGTTTAGGTTTTGCGATAGGATTTAGTCTCATCTCTTCTCGAATTTGTTACTAGTTTTGTGATTTTGCCTTTTGTTAAGATGGGTTTAATTATAGCTTTTGGCATTGGGATTTCCAAAGCATCCGAAGCATGGCTTATTTTCCTTTTCGATAGTTGGGCCGTTGAATTTGAAGCTGTAATGTCTTTGATTTATTGCTGGTATTGTTATCGGTTGGTTGTACCTTCGCATTTATTTAAATGTATATGTTGGGTTATTATAATGTTCGTTGAACCAGGGGAGTTTGACCGACCGTATCAATGTGTTTATTTTTGTAATTACGGCTAGGTGTCTCGCTGGTCATGATGGTGTGGAATAATGCTTTTGTTTTTAATTTTGTGGTTGGAAATGAATGGAATTAGTGCATAATGACCTAGTGAAGCTCATTTGTAAATTTCATGAAAGTTGAATGGATCAATATTCTGTAGATTTTTTTCTAATCTGTCATTCTTATCTTTGGAAAGAGCTTATTCATTCTTACAGTTTTTTCTCGAGTTGGTCATGAAAGAAATAGTTGAATGCACGTTGTTATTATACTGGAAGATAACTCGTAGAATGATTTGGGATTAGAAATTAGCATTATAATGGAGATCCTTATTCAAAATCAAGAAATTGTCATGTTTATAAAAAAAAGAAAAAGAAATTGTCATGTTTATCATCTTTATAATGTTCACTTTCAGTACTGTTGATATGAATTGTAGCTTTGTTGCCTAGAGCTATTGTACGGAATGGTTGCCTGCTTTGATATTATTAAATTAATTAACATGGTGAATTTTATATCTTGAATGCAAATTTGTTAGGAAATAAAACAACTAACACCATAACATTGAACGGCATTCAAAACCTTCTGATTTATACATACAAGCATTTTCATTCACACAAAACCAAAACTAATAGGCTTCGAACATTTGCATGCTTGATTATAGGTTAGCCTCAAAATTGATTATCATTAGACTTTTAGGAAAAATCCTTCTATTCAAAATTAATAAAATCTTTTAAATAACATAGAAAGATGAGCGACCAGAATAATGTAAATGGCCTCCGACTAATTCATATCATATTATTTTCAACTCTTTGTTTAGCCATCTCCCTATGTGTGGGTTTGAATAACCACCTAACATAAACATAGCAATTATATTTTCAAAAATTCATTGAATCATGCTAAATTTAATTATAGATTAATCTTCACTTTGAGCACCAATTGATTTCAAATGTGTTAGATTTGAAGTTTGTGCGATGGTGTTTTCTGGTTCTTGTTACCTGATGACCATAAAGAAATTGAATCTGTATAGCTTAGAAGGTTTTCATTACCTTTTATTTGCATCCCAGCCTCCTAATTTTCATAAATTTTATGATTAAAGTTTCTGACACATCAATGCCTATCATGCTTGATGTGGAACATCTTAGATATAGTTTGCTTAGGGACTAGTATATTCTTTTGACTTCTAGATTGTTCTACTTGCTTTATAAATGCCTAAGTTAGATGTAAGGAGGGAATATATATTATTTTAAGCTTTTGAGCTTGTATTTAGTTTTCTATTTTGGTGTTCTTCTAGTAGATCCAATTCTTCTGTCGATCCACTACATCATTTGGTATCAGAACCTGGAGCTTGTGAAAAATGATTGACTGTCGAAAAAGATGGCCTGCGACGATGATCAAAGCCAAAGAAAATGGATGGTCGATAAAGACTGATGCCGAATAAGATGGGCGGTTGACGATGATCGTTAATCCCTAATCTCATAGCTTCCTTCTACGACAGACCTTTGGAGAAGCTTTCTGTAATTGAAATCACAGGAACAAACGATAATAAGACGGCCACAACCCATTTGATAAAATCTAGGCCATGGGGACCCAAATTGGGATGCTTATTACAATTATTTATTATATTCACGACAATCGACAGCTTGAAGCTCCCAATATGACCTGGGATGCTTGCTCTGATGGAAATACATACACATATAATTATTTGATTACGTTGTATACTAAGTTTGGAAGTATAGGGGATTTTGTTGCTTTGTTTGATAGGTTTGACGATTGTGATACTGTCACTTGGAGTTCGATGATTAGTAACCTTGCACATAATGAACAATATATGGAAGCTTTCGTTCTTTTTGAAAAGACGGTGAGAATGGGTTTGAAGACAAATTATGTCTCATTTGGTTCACTTTTAAGCACATGTGCTCACTCTCGCTTGGTGGAAAAGGCCGTTGGTGTTTTGATTTGATAGAACCACAAGTTCAAATGGTTGATGTACTTGGTAAAGCTGGGTTATTTTCAGAGGCTGAAACACTCATCAGATCAATGCTAATGGAGCCTAATTCCTTAGTTTGACGAGCAATGCTTGGTGCTGAGTTGAGCTCTTCTGATACAAGGGAGTATGATGTGGAACATCTTAGTTGTAGTTTGCTTAGGGACTAGTATATCTTTTTTCCTTCTAGATTGTTTTGTTTGCTTTATAAATAGCTAAGTTAGGTGCAAGGAGGGAGATATGAAGAATATATGTTATTTTAAGCTTTTGAGCTCGTAGTTGATTTCTATTTTTGTGTTCTCCTACTAGATCCAATTCTTATGCTGATTCACTACATCAATGCTCTTGTTCTTATCCATTAGTACTCAACTAGTTGGTATTGTTTTTGTCTAGTACGGCCATCATTTTGCTGTCAATTTTGTATTTTGAATGGGATTTGAAACAAACCTTAATCTTCCATGCTTATGTAACCTATATGGTTATCTAGAATAACTGGTCTTTATGTTCATTTGTAGATTTTCTTTTCAACTGTTCCTATTATTCGTAAGGTTGGATAGGGTTGCTAGCAACATGACTACAAGTAGCTGTCCTGAATCCTTATACATGTTCTGACCATGATTCCTTCTCTTCTTTCAGCTTGGGAGACGTGTAGAATCCATTGTTTTACCTTTAGAGTTGCTGCAACAATTCAAAGCTTCAGATTTTCCTGACCTGCAAGAGTATGAAACTTGGAGGAGTAGAAACTTGAAGGTTCTTGAGGCTGGTTTACTCCTGCATCCGTTTATACCATTAGAAAAGTCTGATATTGCTTCTCAAAGGCTTAAGCAGATCATACGTGGAGCTTCAGAAAATCCAATTGACACTGGAAAGAATTCTGAGTCAATGCAGGTTCTTCGCAGCGCTGTAATGTCCCTTGCTTACAGAACAACGCCTGGATTTTCTTCTGATGTTTGCCACTGGGCTGATGGCTCTCCTTTGAATCTAAACCTATATCAAATGCTATTGGATGCTTTGTTTGATTATGGGGAGGGATCCATTGTAGAGGAAATTGATGAGGTTTTGGAGTTATTCAAAAAGACTTGGGTTGTTCTTGGAATAAATCAGATGATTCACAATCTCTGTTTTTTGTGGTTTTTATTTCATTGCTTTGTGACAACTGGACAGACAGACGGCGATCTTCTGCTTGCAGCAGATAATCTGCTAGTGGAGATTGCAAACGATGCGAAAACAACAAAGGATCCTATTTACTCAAAGATACTAAGCTCAATTTTGAGTTCAATAATGGGATGGGCAGAGAAAAGGCTATTAGCATACCATGAAACCTTCAATTCCAGTAACATTGAATTGATGCAATGTATTGTCTCTTTAGGTGTTTCTGCCGCCAAGATACTGGTTGATGATATCGCTCATGAGTATCGCCGCAGGAGAAGAGAAGAAGTTGATGTTGCACGAAGTAGAATTGACACCTATATTCGTTCATCACTAAGAACTGCTTTTGCTCAGGTGATTCCTAGTCTGTTTTCAAAATAGCTTAACCCATTTAGACCTTTCCACTGCCTTAATGTAGTTCAATTTGTATGAGTAGTTTTCTTTGCTATATGTCTCGAGGCAAGCTCTAACAAGCTTGCTGTTTGAACTTATTTTAACTGAGGTTTAAGAAAATTACCTATATTTTTTGTGAAGGATCTATGCACAACCTCGTCTTTTTCAAACCTGCTGAGTAGGACCATCTTTATTGAAATTGCGTACTACTAGTTCTGGAGGATATAAATTGACCTCCCTTAAAGCAAAAAAGTAAGAAAGTATACCTTGTGGCTTTGTTGGAAAGAACAACAATTTTCGTGAAGCTTATAACGAAGGTGATGTGAAACATAAAGGGAATTGCAGGAGTTTAATAAAAATTTGTTAAGCTTGTTAATTTTAAAATTAATGTTTCACCAGATTAGATTCTAGGATTTCTTAGTTGTTGTTGTGCTTTGGCATGCATATACAAACTAGATTAGAAAGGACAATTTAAAATAACAATAAAAGTATAGTAAAGTTAGGTGCATAAGTAATAGAAATCCACAGGTTAACAAATATAAATTCCTACACTCTATGACAAGGGCGTTATCCGCTGTATCTGCTTGTGTTTAATCCATTTTAGTGTTTTATAGCTAGATTCTTACCTACAAGTATGCTATTTTATATTTTGCAGTGCTTTCATTCTAGCAATGGTGTTATAAATCATGAAAATTATATCTTTTAATTGATTACTTACTTTATTTTATTAAATATTTAGACGATGGAGAAGGTAGATTCAATCAGGCGTTCATCTAAGACCCAGAATGCTACTCTTCCAGTTCTCGCCATTCTTGCCAAAGATATAGGCGACCTAGCGAAAAAAGAGAAAGAGATTTTTAGTCCTATATTCAAGAGATGGCATCCCCTGGCTGCTGGTGTTGCGGTTGCCACTCTTCATTCTTGTTATGGTAATGAACTGAAGCAATTTATATCTGGTGTCACGGATCTGACTTTTGATTCTGTCCAAGTACTGAAAGCGGCACAAAAGTTAGAGAAGGACCTTGTACTGATTGCTGTTGAAGATTCTGTTGATAGTGAAGATGGTGGAAAAGGACTCATTCGTGAAATGCCTCCATATGAGGCTGAGTCTGCTATTTCTAGTCTTACAAAAGCTTGGGTAAAAGCAAGAGTAGACAAGTTAGGGGAATTGGTTGACAGGAACTTGCAACAAGAGGTATTATTCCAATGTTATCTTCTAGGCTTCTCTTCTTATTTTTATTATGTTGCATTTTTATTTTTTATCTTGATCTTTTAAAATATGAAATAATGTTAACAAATGCTAAATTTTTTTTATCATCCTTCAACATTGGTATTTATGAACAAGACCCCCTACAACAGCATCATCAGAATAGAGTTTATCCACCAAAGTTTTGATAGATTGGTGTAAAGGGTTAACTTATTTTGCCTACTTGCGATCAGCAATGGTTCTTGTTGAGCATTTAACCCATGAAATGATAAGTTGGAGAGTTCATCAGAACTTTCGTCGCATAGATCATGTTATAGAATCCAAAGATTTAACTCGTAGATCATCTTGGTTCCTGTTTCTGGATTTTATTGCTCATAGGTCCCTCCTAGCTGACCCCACATAATGGGACAAAGGCTTGATGCTGTTATTGTAGGTCCCTCCTGTTGAAGTCTCACTGCCCCTTTTTTATAAAGGAACGTTTTCAAACAATTTAGCATTTCTAAAATCTCGTAATCTGATAGATATCCTATACAATAACAACAACAACATCAAACCTTTATCCCATTATATTGGGTTGACTACATTAATCTTTTTTTTTTTCATTGTGTCTTGTTAAGAATCAAATTCTCATTTACATCTAATAAAAAAGTTTATATCCTCTATGAAGTAGAAAGGAATGGGCCTATCTTATAGCTTTGATAATATTAAATTAGAGCTATCGCCTAATGTAGCACTCTATATGAATGGAGATGGATGATTCATAAGGTTGACTTGTTGGGATAAGGCTAGTATTGAGATCCGTTTTTGATGCTCATGAGACATTATCATCATATTATGATCAAAAGATGCATATGCTCCTGTGAGGGGATTCTTTGTTTCTAACCTTTAATGCTTTTTATAAGATTTTTGTACAAGTAATTAACAAAAACATTTTAACTACTTATCAGAGGTTTCCAATGCATTCAAATAATTATGTTTAAGAGCTCTAATGTTCAAAATCATAATAATGATGGTTTAAGATAAAATAATGGTGATGTTTTAGGTGATAAGACTTGTTTATGAGTAACAGTCTTTTTATTTCTTTTTTCACATTCAGTCATATGGTCACTAGTTTAGAGCCTGTTTGGTCGGGCTTCTTTTCATGGAGGCTAAGAAGCTGTTGTTGGAAAGCTTATGTAGTGATTCTTTCATTAACTTGGTGATACTTTTGTCAACTTTCTTAAATTTTCTTTATCATATTTTAGATGTGGAATCCAAGGGCAAACAAAGAGAGTTTTGCTCCCTCTTCCGTTGAAGTTCTTCGCTTGGTTGATGAGGCCTTAGATGCATTTTTTCAATTGCCTATTCCATTCCATCCAGCCCTACTTCCCGATTTGATTGTTGGACTTGATAGATGCCTGCAATACTATGTTGCGAAGACCAAGGCTGGATGTGGTAAGTTCGAACCTCCTATAAATTGTTAACCTGGGAAAATTATTAGGTCCGGACATGCAATTAAAACTTGCCATGTGGACTGCACTTTGACTGCGCTTTAGGTGCGCTTTGATTGCTTTTTACCTGCACTTTACCTGCAATTTACCTGCACTTTTGACGCGCTTGACTTAAACTTTCGCGGACACGCATACATTCCACATGTCAATATTTTATTGGTGTCCGGATCTATCTCTACGTCCGATGACCCGACCTAATAATTTTTCGTTAACCTGAGCCTGTAATGTAATCTAACCACTTGAATTAAAATTCAGGAACACGGAATTCCTTCATTCCTCCTCTTCCTGCACTAACCAGAGTTGAAATTGCTTCTAAATTGTGGAAGAAAAAAGATAAATCTCAGATCCTACAAAGAAGAAAATTACAGGATGGAACATTGAATGGCGAAAACTCATTCAGTTTGGTACAGTTTTGCGTACGCATGAACACGCTCCATCACATTCATACAGAAGTACAGAACCTGGAGAAAAAAATTTCAACTTGTCTTAAAAATCTGGAATCTTCTCAAGCAGGAATCACAAATGGTTTTGAAAACAAATTTGAGCTCACTCTCGCTGCTTCCCTGGAAGGAATCCAACAGTTATGCGAGGCAACAGCATACAAAATGGTTTTCTATAATCTAAGCCATGTCCTATGGAATTTCTTGTATGTTGGAGATACTTCTTCCTCCAGGATTGACTCTTTTGTGAAAGAGCTTGATCCTAATCTGGAGACTATATCCACCACTGTGCACAACAGAGTTCGAAATCGTGTCGTAACCGCCCTGATGAAAGCTTCTTTTGATGGATTCCTTCTCGTGCTTCTCGCCGGCGGCCCATCTCGAGCTTTTACACGCCAAGATTCTCAGATATTAGAAGAGGATTTCAAGGCACTGAAAGACCTGTACTTTGCTGATGGGGATGGGTTGCCACTGGAACTAGTTGAGAAGGCTGCAACCCAAGTGAAAAATATTTTGACGCTTTTTCGTGCCGAAACAGAAAGCCTTATCTTGCGGTTTAAACAAGTAATAACCGAGACCTATGGCGCTACTGCAAAAGCAAGGTACCCGATGCCGCCGACGACCGGCCACTGGAGCCCAGCTGAAGCCAATACCATTCTCCGGGTTCTATGCCACCGGAACGACGAAGCTGCTTCCAAGTTCCTAAAGAAAACATACAATCTGCCAAAGAAACTGTAATCCAAGAATAAGCATATGGTGTAATGCTTGATTCTGAAACTGATCAGGTTCTGTTTGCTTGCGGTTTAATGCAGATTGCAGACTGATCTTCATCATGCCCGGCCACATTCAGTGCAGATTTTAAGAATCATCCCAAATCCTGAAATTTTGAACATAGCTTTCTTATATTCTGCTCTGATTTTGCTGAATCTATATGGTTTTTACAGATTGAAACTGTGGCATTTATGACATGATATAGTGTGAAGTTTTATTGGTTGGATCAAAGGCCAAGCTGACAATTCTTGGGATATAAGCTAAGGATTATTTATTTCATTCTCCAACCAACATTCAAAGTGATTCTTTCGGCAGACAAGGAGATAATGAGGTTTGGTTTTACTTTCTTACTGTGTCTTTGTATTTTCTGAACAGCTCTACTAATTTGTTTGGAGAGATTAGTTCAAATTCTGTGAATAGTATTGGATATTATTGATTTTGATTTGTATTGTTTATGTTAAATATAAATGGAGATTCCAAAGTTTTTTTTTTTACTTGTCTAAATGTGATCTTCTGCTCATAAACGTTTTTTTTTTTTCAATTGATGGCTACTAAAACCTGACTTACATATATTCACATCAACTTCATTTTAGGTTTTGTTTGGGACGGTTTTCTTGCTGCTTTCTAAAACAACTTTCTAGTATAAAAATCTGTAGTTCAAAAAAAAAATTTATTATTAAAAAGTTGCCTTAGAAAACAATAAGAAAGTCGTCCCTAACGAAGCCTTAGCTTGAAAGTTTAGTAAGAACTAATGCTCTAATCAAGAAGAATAATTTTTAATAAATTGTAAATAGTCAAGTGCATAAATATATATAAATCAAGATGCATGCACACGTGTGTACATAAAGATAATAATATCTAAGTGCCATCATATGGGGAAATTATTTTGTGCGGAGTCCGAACGTAGAGGATCTTTTGGATTGTTGCGTGCGCACTGCATACTTATTGCATACGTACTGCGTATTTGCAGATACGCAACAAATGCTAAGCCGAACATTAGTTATGAGTATTTGCTAAGTATTTAGTGAGTATTTTCTGTGTTTTTGCTGAGTATTGTTGATTTGTTGCTTATTTGCCGCGCATCTACAGATACGCAGTACGTACGCAGTGCATATGCAGTGCGTACGCAGCAACCGGAAGATCCTCTACGTTTGGACTCCTTGCAAAATAATTTCCCCATCATGTGATCCCGCTTGATTGTTTGTGCATGAGTGGGTATGTGCGCGCGTCGTGGCAACCTACATGTTTGCGCGCCCACGTGCCTGTGTGCTTGTTTTGAATGGCTTATTGGTCTTGTCACATAAGTAAAGCTTACTATGGACGAGTCATCATTTATGATTTTTTAAAATTAAAATAAAATTTAACAAATAATTTTTTATGAATTATTCATATGTTTAGCTGTTTTCATTTTCTTGGCTTGATTGATTGATTAAACAATAACTTTGCAGGCTCTTTATAGCTTTCATCGCTAATCTTTCCTATAAAATTAAAGCCCTTTTGATTGCTTTTTGCAGCTTTGTACATATTTCAGCAGCTTTCGTTTAGTATTATTGCTTCTGAAATTTAAATAAGATGCTTTTTTCCCACCACCATATATGTGGGCAAAATCATGAGCTACTTATAACTTTTCTTAAAATAATAACATAAAATGTGATCTTTGACTACTTATATTGAATGTTAATTCTACAAATAGTGTACAATTTATTTTAACAAAATCTTAGTTAAATAAGTAACACAAATGGTGGTGTCAATTTCGGGTCACGGGTTGGACTCGGGTCGAACTCGGAATTGACGCGGAACTATTCGGATCAATCTGAACTCGACCTGTTTTAGAAAACGGGTCAGTTTTTCGAACTCGAATCCGACTCGATTCTGGTTTGTGTCAACCCGACCAGACACGAAGAACCAGGGGCTGACCCAAAATTATTAGTTTTTGGGTTAAAAATGGGTAAATCCTCAATTTTCGGGTAAAAAATAGGCTAATCTCGAGTTTCCGGGTAAAAAAACGGTCAATTTCGAGTTTCCGGCTCAACTCGAATTTGACCCGGTTTTTTAAACAAGTCAATTTGTTGAACCCGGACTAGACCCCTTTCTTGTCCGAGTTGACCCTAACCTGAAATTTTCGGGTCAGATTCGAGTCGGATTTTCGAGTCATATCAAATATTGAAACCCCCTAAATATAGAGTTCTTACAAACAATTATAAAAATAATTTATGAACCAAAATTAATACACTTGAAAATTAAAGTCTTTTTTGAAACCGTTTTTTTTTACTTCTTTGTTTTTTAAACCGCAACTTCATTTCCTTCACGATATTTTTTATTAGGAAGAGCTATTTATAACAGTTTTCTAAAAAATTATTTTTTGCATCAACTTTATAATCAACTTTACAAAAAATTACAGTCGTCCCAAACACATTCTAAAATAAGTAAAATTTCATCTTCTATTTATTATATTTTTTATCCTCCATAAAAACATGCAATCAATAAAAAAACCACTACTTAAATTTCAGTACCCAAATAAGTTTTTCGATCGCCATTGACTTAACCCTTCCCTTTCATCTTCGCTGACTTCACCGTCTCTGCCCACCTGTCAGTCCACCCCTTCATCCAATCCATGCCTGCAACAACCTTTGCGTCCCAGTTATTTAAACTCCCATTCTCTTCTTCTTCTTCTTCTTACTTCTCATGGATTCAAAGCTCACTCTATGCAAGAAATCTCATACACTTTTAAAGCCAAAGATCAGAATAGTTCATATTTTTGCTCCAGAGATCATTAAGACTGATCCCTCCAACTTCCGCCAGCTTGTTCAGCTCCTCACTGGAAAACCAGAGAGGAAGAAGAAGAAGAAGCAGCAGCAGCAGGTAGCTTTAATGGCAGAGGAAACTGAGAGGAAGAATAAGGAGAGACTGAAGGAGGAGGAAGAAGAAGAAAGGAAGAATTCAGGCGGGTCAGTGACTGATTTTGGAGATGTTGATGAGCTGTTCTTCTAAGGGGTTAATAACAGTGGGATTCCATTGAAGAATCTCTCGAGCTTTTCTATGTTGAGAGTAATGGGAGAGGAGCTTGTCTAGCTTCTAGTATGAATATAGGAGAGAGATTTAAGTTTCGTTTGGCTTGACTTTTTTGCTGCTTTCTAAAGCAGTTTTTTAATATAAAAATTTCTTGAACTAGAATTTTTGTGTGCTAAAAAATTGTTTTAGAAAGCATTAAGATAGCCACCCCAAACGAAACCTTAGAGTTTTAGTTGATGTAATGATCATGTTGCTTGCTTGTTTGATTTTCTTATTTTCAGTTGGGTTAAGTGGTGGAATGGAAGAGAGATGGAGGTGACTAATGTTTCTAGTTATAATATGGAAGTTTTATTTTTAAATATTTTTGGAATTACATATAGTAGTTATAAAGAGTAAATAAAATAGAAAGAAGATCAATGCATGAAATACACGAAAGTTTTATATAAGTTCGTCCAATTTCTCCGAATGACAATACTGATGTTATTGTAAATTTCATTATGATTTTGATTGCGGAGTTTTTTACAACCCTAATTCAATATAAATCTTCTAATCATACACACTTCCCCTTTATTAAAATAATAAAATAGCAAAAAAATAACTTATGTGGGTTTATGTAGAGATTTTACTTTATTTTATTAAGGCCTATATATCAACTTGCGGATTTTATATGACTAAGGTTTTATTTGGGACGGCTTTCTTACTATTTTTTAAATTAATTTTCTAGTACAAAATTTTATTTTCGTACTAAATAGTTGCTTTAAGAAACAATAAGAAAGTTGTCCAAAAAAAAGTCTAAAGTTCCGTTTGGGTTGGCTTTCTTACTACTTCTAAAAATAGTGATATAGTACAAAAATTAATTTTTTTGTACTAAAATACTGTTTTAAGAAGCAGTAAGAAAGAAGTCTCAAATGAAGCCTAAATTTGAAGCGAATAAGAAATAGAAAGAATTGGAGTTTAATGAGAGAATCGTCATAAAAGGGGAGACAGGACCATTATTTTGCCCTTGTGAGAGTAATCACAAGAGCTTCGATGAAGTGAAGAGTCGTATCTCCCGATATTGCAAAATTGTAAGACCTCAATAATTACATATATGCCCTCTTTGATTCTGTGGCATGATTTTTTTATCCATATTTCATAATATTTTATCTTATTTCATTTTGTTTTGTTTTTTTTTTCCTTAAATCTAAAGATAAATGTTCCCCTCAATCATTAAAGTTGCTTTGAGATTAATATTATATATAAAATTTTTATAATATATTAATTGTAAAACAAATTTAATAATTTAAAATTCATTCTTGTTGCGGGCTAGAATATATGCGGCGATAAAGTTAGAAAATATTCATCTTAGCGTTGTACGGATATTCAACACACAAATAGAAGATGAAAGAACACCAAGATTTTTACGTCCAGTTGAAAAAGTTTCACTAGTGTTTGTTTGAGATACAAAAGGCTGACTCGTCCGTAAAAGTTAGAATGATCATATTAAATGAATCACTTATGGATTGAAATCCAGTTATAATGTGGGGCAGAGTTCTGGCGTCACTTGGAGATCAGACAGAATTTCAGCGTTGTTTGAAAGTTGGACAGAATTCTGGCGTCACGTTGAAGTCGGACATAATTCCGGCGTCCCGTGGAAGTCCGTCGTTTGTCGAGGAGTTTCTTCCATTCTATTCTTCTTCTATTCTCTTCTCCTTCTTCTTCTTACTTGGGTCCCCTCTTAAGAGAAATGATGGGCTATTTATAGTTTTTTGATGATGGCATGACCCGTAAATAGAAGGAGGATCAAGGGTAAAGGTAGAGTGGTTCGGAAGGACGGCCGATATTAAATCATTTAATCGTGGACCGTTTATTAGACATTTGAAGGTCTTAATGATGTCGAAATTTGGCGATCTTCGGCTCATTGGACATGTCTCATCGAGCCGATCGATTCAACTAGAAGAACATTATGTTTAGAAATAGTTTGATAATACAAATTGTGGTTCGAAGTTTCCACCAATGCTTCGGGTCCTTGATTTGGACTCATTTGGGCTTGGATTGAGTCGAATTTGGTGTTGTTGGGTTGACGCTCAGTTTGACTATAAGTTTGTTGAAATCGGAATCTAGGTGATCCCAGATTTAATTTTTGAAATTTCCGGTTCGATTTTGTCTCGAGATTTGTGCCCGGTCAAAATACTTTTTTGATGATATATCAATTCTAATAAAATATATCAAATACTTTAACATAATTTTTTTCATTTAAAATTATAATTATTTCTACTGTCTAAAAGAGAGAGAGAGAAATGAAATTATAATACAATATATTTAAAATAAAATAAAAATTTAAATTTAACATATTATTTTCTTTCCAAAGAGGAATTACCTCCTCTATTAGAACTGCACGTGGGTGGGTCCGGGTCTACGGTCCAGGTGACGCACCAAGAGGCATGCATGAGACCCTCGCCGCACGCCGTCTTGCTACGCGTACGCACCAGAAGACGAGAGCGGACTAGGTCGCAGGTCACGTGGGAGGTGATTTTGTGATTAATTTTATATTATAATTATATATATATATAAAAATCGCGGTCAAGTTGCACGTATAAATGGAAATTCCAGTCCTAGAACACTGAAGAAACTCAGCTCTTTTTCGGATCGAGGGAGAGAGACCTGAGAGGGATGGCTGTACGCGAGAACGAGGGGATCAAGGGCAATCGATTCGTTGTGACGGGAGGGTTAGGGTTTGTCGGATCCGCCTTGTGCCTCGAGCTCCTGAAGAGGGGGGCGGCGGAGGTGCGGTCTGTTGACACGCGCGCCTACTCACCGTGGTACCAACATCTCCAGAAAAATGGCGTCCGCTGCATCCGAGGTTTTATCCTTGCTTGTTTTTCTCTTCTGTTTTTTGTTTTTTTTTTTCTTGCATGATCATTTTAATTTGCTTGCTTGCTTTTCTCTTCTTCTTGTTTCTTGTTTCCTGCATGCTCATTTTGATGGGTTCAGTTAATTTAAGCCTGTTTTATCCCGCTTAAGCTACCATGAGATTAATTTCTTTTGAGAGGCTGCGCAAGCGCCTATCCTAGTTTAATTTAAGTGCGCATTGTAGATATCTCTCCCATGATCATCTTAATAGGATAGCTTAATTATTAATTAATGCCTGCAGTTTGGCTAAAACAATATTTAACGCAAGTAGGGTTTAGTAAATCTTAAGAGGATTAAAACCTGAAACTGTTTGATATGAGGCGTTAAATCTTGTTAATTCCATGATAAATTGTTTGATTATATATTTCAAGACTTTAGATTTATGAGAGGCAGAAATAATTAAATCCATTAAATTCATTAAACCTCTTAATGGTGTGGTTTGACAAATCTTGGATTTAACCAATAACTGCGTGTAAACGAGCTTTATCAAAACAATAACATTTAGAATCTCTAAAAATTCTATGTGGCAGGACTTAAACTAAATCTTGCTTAAATCCTGTCAAAAATAGGATGTCAAAAAGCCCCTTAGTAAGCATAGCTGGTCTATAACTACGTAGTGTAATTCATTATATTAATCGTTACTTAGTTAGCGGTCAAATTTGTACTCAGTTATGTCCTATTTCAAAACTACTTAATCCTCCTCTTATAAAAGCCAAACTAGTAGCCGATGGCATATTCAAAGGAAACTTCCAATTTTGATTTTTTAATAAATTTGAATTTTGATGTTATTTAGAATGCCAATAGTTTTAAGAGGAGGGTTTTTTTGGATTAGAGTTTTTTTTCCATCCAGATGTTATTGATACATCACATATTTGAACACATAATTGGCACTTACAAGGGACACAACAACTTGCCTATATGTAGAAAGACTTCTTATTAAACACTTATAATTCAGTAAACATTTGACTACATGTAAACAAACCATGCTGCTTTAAACATGCAAAAAAGTCTTATCTTGCAACCATCGCCACCGGATGCGGAACTAGTGCATGAAAGCAAATAAAAGGTGAAATATTAAGCTTAAAATGAAAACTTTGTGTGCATCCAAAAAATGAAATATTTCCACAAATAATTCAATGCAAGATTTCGAAATCTTATTTGTGCTCTAAGAGGCAATCTTGGACTCAAATGCAATACCTAGGAATTAATACAAGTGCTTTAAAAAGTGCCCAAGTGAATTTTTTTAAAGGCATAAAAAGTTGTGCAAGTGTACTATGCAAATGCAATAAAAGACGTGCAAGTGCATAATATAAGTACACCAAAAAGCACATTGGAAATTATACAAATGCATTAAAATTAAAAAAATATCCATTGTGCTCTAATATAAAGTCAGAGAATTTTACACTGGTTGTAACTAAAACAAACTCTTTTTTTTTTTCCGCTTTGATAATCATGCAACCATTTTTAAAAAGTGAGCAACTATTTTTGAAAACTCAACAAACTCTCTTCTAAACTAAAATGATTATCATATGATGGGACTATTTTATCAAGCTGGCCATATTACCCATACAATAAGGTTATAAGTCCCACATTTTAAACCAGATCCTCCATATCAAAAGATAAAGATTGGTGTCGACAAGACTTGAGCCCTATGAACTTGATACTCTATAAAGCAACCAGGCAAAGTCAACAAAGTTCAATATAATAAAGTTCCATCAAACAAACAACCCTTATGATGGCCCTGGTTATTGTACATCATAATTGGAGGGACTATTAAAAAAAAATCAATCATTAAATTGCAAATATGAATGATGCAAATAATCTAACCCCGATGATAGTCATATTGACTGCAGATCTTAATTGTGGGGACTATATTTTTGAAAATTCCCTCAAATCTCAAAGCGAATTATTTTGAACCCCAATTCTTAAAAAAAAAAAGTTCAACAAATTTTGCAAAAGACAAAAAAATTAAAATAAAATGTTGAGGTTGACCATAAGGGTAGCATATAGAAACGTTGCATGAGTTGATAAGATGTGGTTGGTTATAGAGTTGCATGAAGCCATTTAAGCAATTAAGAAGAGGGCAACGACAATAATGCTGGGTAAAGAGCTAGCAATGGAGTACTATATAATAGTAAATGCAAGAGTACTAACTAAGAAGCAAATATCAATGGAGCAAGTGGAGTTACAAGCGGTAGAGCTGGATAAGGAAAGGGTGTTAGAGCTTCTTGTAAGCATGCTTACGATGATGCTAACTAAGGAGCCAACATAGAAGTTGCATATTGAGGCCTGAACATCAACATTGGCCGAGGAGCGAACAATGAAGCCTCTCATCATAATGTAGGAGATGCCATTGGTTGAAGAGCAGATGTTTGAGCTACATATAGAAATGTGGGCGATAATTTGAAATGATGAGCAAGCATCAAATTTGTATGTAGATGTGCATGGGATGGCGTCGATTGAAGAGTAGGTGTTGGAGCTGCATGTAGAGATGTTGAAGATGACATCAACCTAGGACTAGGCGTAAAAAATGTACGTAAAGTTGCATATCATTATTTCATCAAGCCTTTGATTTAACCTTGGAGGTATTGGAATTGCCATATCTTATTGTAGCTTTTGATATAACTTGGGAGGTATTAGAATTTTTTCTTTTTTTTTCTTTTCTTATGTTCCCATGCACATAAACTTGCTATGCATGAAAATTTTCAAGCCTGCTTTTGTGCTTAGAGCTTCTTTACTCACCCCTCAATTCCCAACATCATGGTGGAAAAACTTGGTGGATTCACCTTTGAAGCTCCCAAAGCCCCCATCATTGATTGGGGGCCATTGAGAACACTCCTTTAATGCAGAGCATTGTTGACGCATATTTCTGTATCGGCCCGACCTCAATCGAGCCCGACTAGTCTCGACCATGCTCGATCGACTCGATCGATCAACGTCGAGACAATATCGACTCAAATTAAACTCCAATTTAATTAAATTAAATCAATTTAATTAAATTAAAATTAAATCAAATCAATTAAAATAAATCAAACCTCGTCGAGCGTCGTCGAACCCAATTCGACGCTATTCGGCATCGATCGGAGTTCAATTTCGCAAAATTGACTCAATCGAACAAAATCGGACCCAAATCGACTCAAATCGATTCGGGTCGAGCCCAATTCGGAGCCAATTTCAACCCCAATTGATTGATTTGGGCTCAATCAACT